GATAAAGAAGGGGTCTGTTGCATGATTATAAAATCCTAGCCATGATGAAAAAAATATTACGGATCCTCGGATGATCAAAATGAATTGTATATCAAGTCGGTTAGATCTATTAATGTGTTAAGCCACCGCCCCACATGATTTGACTAGCCCCAACCAGCAACAATTAAAATTTTCATTTTAGCTAGGCTTTGTAGATTTCGCCAAACGTTCCATTTCCAATTACTTCTTTATCGGGAAAACCCCATTAAAGGCAAAAAATTTTTATCTGTTCTTCTGATTTAGCGTATTCCAATTGGTGTAGTAGTATACATGTACTAGGAAATGGTGAACCGGAGCGATAAATTTTTTTAGTTGGTTTATTTATTTATAACCAGTCACGTGGCGTGAGAACCGGAAATTCCACGTCACAATCATATCGCAGAATAATATATAGTCCTTCGCTTACGCTCCGGACAACAATGAGGATGACATTTTTTTTCGTTAACGTTGTTTGCTATTGACTAATCGTTTGGTTTTACTGTTACATGTATGTAAATGTACTTAAAAGGTGATTGTATCGGCATTTGCTCTGACATTGTTACTCGTGAAATTTCCATATTTTCTCTTGATTTCTAAATTTTATCTGATCTGGGAACGTACATGTATTTTCTTTGTGATTATGTGATAGTTGTCGATGATTTGACGAGGTGTTTGAAATCATGCTGAGAAAAATGTATGAAAGAAGAATCTTATACTTATTTTTCCATTGATTAACTTCAAAGCTTGTCAGCCGTACATGTAATGGAGGAATTCCACTATAAACAATCCATACTTCGATTTTTTCTATTTAATTGTTGGCAGAAACTAAGTCCAATATTTGCTTTTTAATACGTTAGTTTTTGGTTATCTGAAAACATATTCAAATCATTGTTTCTAGGCCGCGTCAATAAGCCCTATTGATTAGTCTTTTGTAGTTGACTATCAGAAACCTCTGCGAAATATATTTTATTATTTTCGTTTTCATTGCTTAAGGTCGATTTGCGAACAAGTCATCACAGGAAACCTTTAGAATGCTAAAGAACCCCAATATTCAGTTTAACACTCCTAATTATAGTTACGCCATTTTAATAACAAAAATGCGTAGCGATATAGTAAACCAAATGAGATAATCGTTATACATGTTATATGCGGTGATATTGAGATGTGGGCATGAAACTTTTCTGTGCTAAGAAACGACATTCATTAAAAGAAATTACTTTGATGGCTGGTAAGGATATATCAACACCAACACAAATCAAGATACAATATGTAATATACAATATTCAAAGGATATTATTTCAAACATTAATTGGATATATTCTAGCCAACTCTGGATTGCTCAATACTACATGTAATAACGAAATTAAAAAAAAAACAACGAAATTAAAAAACATGTAATAAATATGCTAAATAAAAAATTCTACATGAAAATACAAAAAATAGGATACATTCGTTAGTTAATAGACCACGACCACAAACTATGACTTGAACCACTATTTGAACAAAAAATTAAAATGCGGCTTCGCTCTTGTAGCGGAACGCTACGGTCCAATAATCATAAATTCATACCGGTCCCGGTTTAAACCTCGATTTTACAATTCGTTAATATCCTAATTGATTTTCAAATTCATCATAGAGATAGCAATCATATTGAAGTGTTTGATACTCTGATATTTATGCATTTCCTTTGTTTATCCGAACTACTTTATATCATATTTATTAGCTTGATAGGACTAGATCATACAAACATTGAAAAATACAAACCTTCCTGATCCACATTCGGGTAAAAGCTTGCTCGTATAAACGGCCAAGGGATGCGTCTTGTAACTTTCTTAGGAATCATAATTGGATGCGTTTGCAATTCTAAACTTCTCGGCGTTGTCTATTTGTTTTTCCATTTCTGTAGTTTCGTCACGATACCATTTTTTAATGATGTCGCGCTTCTTTTTGGAGATTGGTCTTTGTGAGGGATTTTGATGCCAATAACGTACAATCAAGTCGCAGTAAAAGTCAGGTAATCCTTCCAGTAATTCAGGCCGTAATCCATCGCATATAGCTAAGGCTAATTCAGAATCGAAAGGACGTTTACCGAATGGAGGTTTACCTTCACACCACTCCAACATAACCATTCCTAATGCATAGACATCTGATGCCATGCTGAAAGCCTTTCCTCGGAAAACGTCTGGTGAAACAAATGGCATCACACCAAACATTTGGCGTTTTTCCTTGGTGAAATTTTGTTTGATTGCAGCACCCAAATCACAGATTGTAGCTTCGTTTTCATTTAATTGAAGAATATTTCCAGGATGCAGATCACCATATAATACCTTGTAATGAATAGAATAAAGATCAGAACAAATATCATATAACACATGTATGCGATTATACCATGTTATTTTGCTGAATTGCTTTTGTATATGATGGCGCAAATCACCAAAGCTGGCATAAGTGATAGCTAAAAAATATTCTCTATTTGAAGGGTTGCGTCATAGTATCGAGTTCTATATATAAATGAAAATAGAAGGATAAGTTAATGTAAATAAAAAAGAAAGCATAATCTATCATTTCTTACCTAACTACATCAGATAAATGGTAAGAAATACTATAATAAATTAATATCTAATAAAAAAAGTATAAATAAAACAAAAAAATAATAATAAATTTCAAAAAAAAATTAAAATATCAATTTCCAACCTAATGCAAATAAAATCGTTTATTTCTTACAATCTAAATAAAGAATAATGGTTAATAATTATTAATATCAAAAAAAAAATTAAAATAAAAATGCAAAATAAGCTCTTACATCCTAAATAAAAGATAGAATAATGGGTCAGTTAAAAAAATTATTAATATCAAAGAAAATTAAAATGAAGATGCAAAAAGAAATCGTTGATTTCTTGCGAACTAAATAAGAGATAGAATAATGGATTAGTTAACTAAATTATTAATATCAAAGAAAATAAAAATGAAAGATACAAAATAAGATCGTTGATTTCTTATTATATAAATAAGAGATAGAATAATGGATTAGTTAAATAAATTATTGATATCAAAGAAAATTAAAATGAAGATGCAAAATAAGATTATTGAATTCTTACCAACTAAATAAGAGATAGAATAATGGATTAGTTAAATAAATTATTAATATCAAAGAAAATTAAAATGAAAGATGCAAAATAAGCTCATTGATTTCTTGCCGACTAAATAAGGGATTAGTTAATGATATCAAAGAAAATTAAAATGAAAGATGCAAAAATAAGTTCGTTGATTTCTTACCAACTAAATAAAGATAGAATAATAGATTAGTTAAATAAATTATTAATATCAAAGAAAATTAAAATGAAAGATACATTATAAGATCGTTGATTTCTTACCAACTAAATAAAAGATAGAATAATGGGTTAGTTAAATAAATTATTTATATTAAAGAAAATTAAAATGTTAATGTTAATAAAATCGTGATTTCTCACTTTGGTAATCATTTCTAATCAAAGAGTTAAGATAATTCATTATTAGATATTAATAATAAGTTTAAGTATAATAATTACCGTCTTTTTTCACATTTAAGAGTCAATTCAGCCTTAATTGTACAATCATTATTGAAATAAAAAGAATTTAGAACAAAGATGAATAAACAACTAAGGAAATAGGAATTTCGCATATTTATCGATCAAATTCAAATTGTGTCTTTAGACATCATCTTTAATATTAATTACCTCATGCAATAATTCTTTTATTGTTCTAAATAATTTCAATGAAACTTCTTTCGTCTCCCAAGTATCCTTATTCCAAACAGCTTTGTACACTTCACCAAATCCCCCTTTGGCAATTTTTTCGATATCAGTAAACTTTTCGAAAGGTATTTTCTCAATTCCAGGTGTCATTTGAATAAACTCTTCGATTTCATTATTTGATTCTATGTCTGTTATATATTCAAGATATATTTAAAGAGGACGAACGATGTTTCTTTATAATGAATAAGTCTCCGTCAATTGACTAATGTTTGAACAATGAACAAATAATTTACAGAGCATCTGGATTTATACATGTAGTACATTACATTTAAGAGATTTCAGGTTCCACATTTTTCTTAACATGGCATGAACTAAGTTTTTTTGCGCATAAATTTTGAATTACGGAATTGTGTATTTATACATGTATAACGATATCGATTACATGTATTTTCCGGATTGTGGCTAATCTCACAAATAGTGAAAATGCATGCATTAACGGATCATCTAACGCTGAATATCGTTATTTGGGCAATTATTCCATTTTCTCCATTTAAGTTAAGAATGACAAACGAGTCAATGTGTGCTTCTAATTCTGTAGCAGAGATCAGAAAATTGACTACGCAAAAACCTATCGAATTTTTACATTTAGAACTATAGATGAGGATTATAGTATATTTTCCAGAGAGAGAATCAATGGCCGTGACTTCTTCCAATTGACAAAGAATATACTTAGAAACTATGGCATGAAAGGAGGGCCTGCGATAAGAATTGCTAATTTTGCTAATGAGTTCAAAGAAAAAAAATTAAGAGATTTATATGAATGTATTTCAGAGCCAATGGCTTTCTCTGTTCAGGACAGAAAATTAATACAGCATATTGAATTACCAGAAGTGAAAAATGAGTTATCAGTAACTTTATGACTGAATATTCTGCATCATAGTCCCTCCCTCCTATGTGTCTGTCTTTCATAAAGTATATCTAGTTATTTATTTTGCAAGCTCATGGAATTTTTGAACAAAATTTATATAATACATGTATATTTTTAAACTCCATATTAGGCAAAGTAAACGAAGATTGAACACCCACACTCTTGCTGACACCAAACAATTCGGCACCGCGTTCACGATTCTCGACGACCAGTGGTAGAATCGCAGGAATCGATTCAATCAACAATGGATTTTTTCTAAACCGATGGTAACATCTAATCTACACACTCTGAACCAGAAAAACAATTAGATTTTTACATAGATGGAAAATGGGTCGGGATTCTACAGCTTCCAGCAAGATATCAATGATGGACCGTTGTGCATCGGAAACGATCCCATAATGGGTTTACTGGCCTAATCAGGTATCATTTATCATACAGTGTGGTCCATAAGTATCCGGAAAATTTTTCGCGGAAAAAAAATATGCATATCTTTGCCAAATTAAGGCCGATTTTCACAATTTAAAATGGAAAAGAATCGTCATAAGTGGGTTGTTCGCGGAACTTCTTCGTGATACCATTTCTTTTATTTTTTTTTCTTTTTTACTTTGGTATAATTATGACTTTCAAGCAAGAAACCAACCATCAATTCATTTTACAATTGTGGAATCAGGGCATTCGAGATGCCAAAGAAATCCATACCATAACCAACATATCCCTTTCAACAATATATGACAATATTAATAAACTCAAAAAATATAACACAAATAAACATGCCAGAAGTAAAGGTAGATCCAAGAAGATAACTGCACGAGCATCAAAGGCATTAGATCAATATATACGAAGGGATTCATCTATTTTAACAAGAACCCTGGTAATAAAATTATCAAAAATCGATATAAATGTGTCTCATTAAATGGTTGGAAGACATTTGGCTACTCTTGGATACAAAAAAGCACTCCCACTAGGAATGTTGATACTTACTGATGCTCATAAATGTAAATGTGTGGCATGGGCTCACGAACATCTCAATGATAATTGGGATAATACTTTCTTTTCAGATGAAATAGCTTTTAAACTCTTTCGGAATATGGTAAAGTGCTGGTACAAGGGAGCATGGCCAATATGACATATATCCAAGGATCAAAGAAAGATTTTTGCATGGGGAGGATTTTGTATAAATGATAAAAGTAGTTTATTTTGTTTTTCTGAAATTATGGATGCCAAATTCTATATCAATATCCTTCATGAGCATACTCCAGAAATTGAGCAATTGATGGAAGATGAATGGCAGTTCCAGCAGAATAATGATCTGAAATACATGAGCCATCTTGCCAAAGTGTTTCTTGAAGAAACCATGCCCAAAGTTTTGGACTGGCCATCTAACAGTCCCAATTTGAATCCCATCAAAAATCTCTGGTGTATTGTTAAGAACAATGTGGAAAAGCGTATGCCAAAAAATTTAGACGAACTGCATCATTATATGATAAATGAATGGGTGGATATTCCTGAGTCTACTCTAATTAATTTAATTAGGTCTATGAGGCGTCGTTGTGAGCTTGTTATAGAAAGCAATGGTGAGCGTATATCATATTAAAAATAATATAATAAATTAGCTGGTCTTAATCTTCGAAATGCATAAATTTCATGTGATTTAAGTCATTGGTTGTGGTGTGATGAGTAATTTTTTAATTCCGAATACTTATGGACCACACTGTAACTAAATAGTGCAGGAATTACAAAAATATAGATATTAACGATCACTGTTATTATAACCTAGCGTTTATCTGTTGAAGAAGTGGCTTTTTTGAATTTAACAACATATCAATACCAATGCCAGTAATACCATTAACTAGTCATTAACTTCTAATTCATCAAATTACATCTTGCATACTGCTATTATAGTTGGTATAGGAGGTATTTTTAATCAAAATTGAAAGCTATATTATTTCTGTCACAGTTCTAGTCATCCTGGTATTGCAGGTAAGAATGGCCGACCAGTAAACTGAGAACTAAATAAATGATTTTGCTTCCTTTAATTGTTTGTTTTTGGGATTCTTTTTGGCTATCAGTCTTGGGCTTAATTATTTCTCTTTAGTTTTTATTATTACGTGAATTAAAAATTTGTTGCTGTGTCATGTTTATGTACAGAAAAATTTTACCCGCAAAATGAAAAGAATTAGACGGACAATACAAATTTTGCAAGCTTGTCTAATACATTTTAGCATGTAACCAGAAAATAATACTGATAAAAATTTGGGACTTCTAAAATTTTCAAGTGCGAATATTGTTTATTTAACATTTTATTAAACTAATTGTTTTTTCATAAAAGTAAAACCAAAGTTTTACGGTGCAATCTCTTAAATTATTCTAAATTCTACAAAAGGAGAATGATACAGTAAACTGTGTTGCAAATGTTTATAATTTTTTAATTATCAATGTGACCAAATTCGATCTGAATATACACCCTACACTTTTTCATCAACAACAAAAATCTAAAGTCAAATTATAATACCGACATCGATTTATAATGAGTGATATTCTGAATTTGGCCATTTTTTGCGAAGGCGAACAACATTCGAAGGAGCACCAGTTTTGCGAGAGATTTCTGCATTGCAGTCATTTCTTAACGATAAATACTAATAAAAATTTAATTGTTTCAGGTAAATAATAATATTAAATGCTTCGTTCACCATATGAATGATAAATAATTCAAAAGTTTATAGATATTAAATGGAAAAATCAGCTTTTAAATCTGGTAAAAGAGAAACACTATTCGCACAAATATAATGCTTCAATTCGATGGCCATAAAAACTAGCGAGATAAGAAATTGATCATGAAGAAGTTCGCCCCATATCATACAATACGTCAAAAGCGATGAAAGAGAAGCGTTAGAATTACAGTGGCTCCCATAATTATGGAATCACTTGAACGAAATTTTTTAAATTAAAATAATCTATCAACCAATAGTGCAACAGCCACAGAATTTTAAAATTATAAAAATGGTAAGTCATAACAAAATTTCGTTTAGAAAAAATTATAAATTTTTTATTTATCCCAATTTATGTAATTCCATAATTTTGTCATTTCACATCAATCATTAACTATTAGCATTTACTCAAATCTCACACAGAAAAATAAAATTAGCTGTAACGGTAATACAAAAGATTGATATACATTTGTTTATTTGTTTTTCTTTGTTCATGTCAAATGAAAGCAATTAGCAGGCCAAAATTTTTGCACTGGTCCAGAAAGGTTATCCCACCTGGATGGTAACCAAAAAGCACAAGTTAGTCAGTCAACTGTAGTTAAAATCTGCCAGAGATATGTGACTGATGGCATTCTTTTATCAAAACCAAGACAAGAATATCCATACTTACTGAAAATCAAGAAAACCGTGCACAGTAGTATCGCCCGATTTACGTGTGTAATCATTTTTTAAAAATACATTAATCAAGTTTTCTCCCTTTTTTGATAATAAACATCTTCGTCGACACTATAATTTCGTTAGGTTAAAAAATGGTGTCCACCTATACGCAGCTTAACGAAATTGAAAAGAAGATTTTAGCGTACATGGACACCACAAATGCCGCTCAAATCGCAAAAATACTCGGACAACGGTACGCCACTTTTTAAATATAAACGAACCAGAAAAGTGAAAACTTACCATGTTCAGGAAGATTACCAGCCTTAAACAATCACGAAAAGGATTTACTTGTATGTGAAGCTAGCGAAAAACGACATGCATCACTACGCGAAATAGTCAACAATTTAGGCCTCACTTGTAGTTTATCAACCGTCGCAAATGTATTGCACAACTCCGGACTTTACTCACGTATCGCAGCAAAGAAACCTTATATCTCGGAAACACATACATATGCTCATATTAAATGGTGTGAAGAAAATAAAAATAAATCAGCTTATGATTGGTCGAAAATAATTTTCTCTGATGAAACCAGTGTGGAAATTGGAAAGCAGTTACGGCAGCCAAGAGTTTGACGGCATCCTGGAGAAAAGTTTAACCTTAATTATTTGGCACCTACCTTTAAAAGTGGACAAAAATCTGTAATGGTTTGGGGATATTTCGCGGAAAGACCATTAATTTTTTGTGATGAATATAAAAAAATGGCGAAAAAATTAACTGCAAATACTTACCTCGAAATCTTAAAAACTAAATTACTTCCATTCCAGAACGCAATTAGGGAATTAACTGGAAGTTACGCAATCTTTCAACATGACAATGCGCCGATACACACTGCGGGAAAAAACAAGTGAAAATAAAATCGTGATTATTAATTGGCCGGTGACCTGAAACCAATAGAGAAAATTTGAAAGATATTAAAGGACAATATTAAAAAAATGAGAACTTTCTGACAACTGTGGATGAACTTAAGATTGCACTGAAGATGGAGTGGGAAAAACTTGATGTGGCCATTTTAGAACGGGTTGCTGCATCAATGCCACGAAGAATTAATGTGGTATTGGAGTCAAATGAAGGGCCAATTAAATATTAAATAAATTTTATTTTTTATTTGGTGAATAAATTGATAAAAATCAAATAATTTGAAAATGATCTAAATTATTATTTTTAATTTTGCATCAGGTGATACTTTCTGTGGGTATTGTACTTCATTATATTACTAATAGTAATTGCACAACAGTCTATAGATGTCAAAAAATTCTAAGAATAGAAGATAATATCAATATTAATGCCAATACAATTCATTGTACTCCTACTAGACATGGTCTTAAAGTATGTATTAAAAGAAAAAAATCATTACTTCAAAAATAACATCATAAAGCTTATTAAATCTTTACAAAAAATTATCAAAATTGATTTATTAATAACTGGAAAAAGTAATCTGATCAGATAAAAGTAAATTTCAATTATTTGAATCAGAGAATAAATAATATTATTGGTAATATAATAGAGTGATATTAAAGAATGTATTTGTAAAGCTAATAGCAAAATTTGATGGTGAAAATATTAATTATATAAAATTATTTTACTTGAAATGAAGTTGGAAATCTTTGCAAAATTGATAGTAATATGAATATAAATCTTTATAGACAAGCTTTATCTAAGAATCTTTTAAAAATAATCAATGATTATAATTTTGAGAAATCTGAAATTGTGTTTAGCATAATAATAATTTCAAATACAAGTTATCAATTATTCAAACCTGGATTATGGAAAATAAAATCAATATTTTTGATTGATATATCCAATCTTCAGATCTTAATTCTATTAAATACTTATAAGATGAAGTAAATAGATAGCTTTATCAATATCAGGTATAAATTTTTAGTAAAGAGATATTATAAAATATTTACAACAGATTTGAAGAGAGATTAAAATTAATAATTTAATTAAGAGTTTGTCACAAGAATTTGTAATATAATTTATGTTAAGAAGAAGTATATGAGATGATAAATTTATTTATAGAAAAATTTATAAATAAATTTATTTTTATTCAAATTTGTATTGCTATCAAATTAATTATTATTATATAACAAAATTATAAAAATCATGAAATTTGTAAATTATGCTAAATAAATATTTATATTTAATTT